ACGGTTGCCGCTAACGCGTGCCGGCGGGATAGTTTCCCACAGACTTGGAGGCTTTGTCGAAATCACAAGGTTTTCGACAACATTTTGCTTCCTTGCCATAGGTGTTGTGATACCAACACCAGTCAGGATTTTTGACAGAACGTGTGTTGGACTTAGATCGTCCACGTGCGTTTTGCCGTTGAGGGGATCTAGAACGACGATAGGAGGAATTGCTAGGCTTGTTTGACCTAAGCATCTGCTGGATGGAATTGATTAACTCTATCATTGCAGAATCCTTACTCGAAGTCTGTTCGGTAACAGAGTATACTTCGGTGACTGGCCGTTTCGTTATCTCTAGAATTCTATCTGCAGAGACAGCTAAGTCATCTATGAGGACACTTTGAAGTGTCACAAGTACAGTCTGAACTGACTGTGGCAGTTTGGATAAAAATAGTTCTCTGAACAGTCCTTCATCGAACTGACTTTGGCCAATGATCTCTTTCATTCTTGCCAGCATGCTCACGGCTGACTGATCTCCTAACTCGATGTTACGAAATAACTCATCCAGACGTTGTCGATCTGTGAGAACGTTTCTCTTGAGGATGGATGCTTTTAGCAACTCGTACGAGTTACTTACCGACATCTGCAGAGTTACGCACCTGCTGAATTCCCGCGGTAGGGCGTGAATAACTGCAAGGAACTGTGAACGTTGATCATTTATGCCATGTTCACAAAAATCAGACTCAGCAATCTGAAACCACGTTTCAGCATTATCTGGCCAATATGGTACTAGCTGGATTGTTTTGGCAGTTGAGCGAATTCGAATAACCTTGGGGCTAGGATCACTCATGACGAAAAGTATGCCGATAACAATATAGTACAAGAATAAACACAAAAAGGAACGAACTCACCGGGTTTATCTGCGTGTGAATTGAAGATGAAGTTCGAGGTCGGGCTCACCAATTTAGGGGGCTGTAGGTATCGACGTTCGCGAGTTGTACGGATTATACTAACGCAAGATCTTATACCAACAACCACTATAGTGTTCGTTCTTCGAGTACCAAATGGTAAAGCAAAAGACCAGATTTTGTCGTCCAAATACGATATATATTTTGGGACCAAATCGCGGGTAGGAATGAATGCTTAGCTAGCTAGTAATCGTGCATGCACGTGACACGACGAAGCACCAAATGGCGGGGATGCTTGACCGTAAGCCTTCAGCTAAACAAGTCGACTTAAACAGTGATGGTCAGCATCCAATGTTGAGTGATGATTGCTGTGGTTAATAATTTTGGGGAATTATTTACCGCTACAAGGTATTCTACATCCAAAGACAACATATATTTATTCGAAACGTTTGCATCCTGTATACATTCGACAAATTGGAAAGTTTCACGAAGGGAATGAATAGATACTTGTCCCCTGACGTGTTCGAGGATTTCAGCTAACCACCTAGCTATTGCATAGTAGGGGGATCCGGGTATATCCAATATCCAATTTTTCGTTTTGTTGATTCAGTTTGTCTACTTTTCCTCTATTACGTCAATTCTTACTACTATTACTATTCTCACTTTGAAATGTCCTCCGTATTATTTCACTCACTCCACGCTTGTCATTCTAAATCAGTTCTGTTTTGCAACGTTAAATTCTATGTTATCAAATTCCACGCAACCTTACGTAACATTTTTATTTTATTCTATTTGCCTATTGATCCTATAATTGTGCACCCCTTCCAAGTTCTATACATCCTATGAATTATTCTATATATGACATTAATTGTTTTGCCACTTCACAATGAACTATGATTATAATCACAAATACTTTAATTGCATTTCATACTACTATTACTATTATTTAATGCTTTCACACCTACGGTTCATTTTCCTCATCGGATATAATTTCGTACGAACTAAATATAAATGTATACTACTGTTCAACTTGATGATGAATTCGTTGTTGAGAAGAGTTTCTTCGCTGAAGCACTTTTCTTGATTTTCTAAACGTTCATTGTTGTTTGTTAATATTTATTGATAATAATGCAAGTAATCCTGCCAAATATGAAATCCTGACTTCTGTCCTCTTTGTGATGTTCTTCAGTATTACTGGTTTTGGGTCATTGCGGATCACACTTATAAATTTGTATTACACTATGTTTTGTGATCTTTCCCTAGCAGAAGATAGACGCTGTTTTCTAAATAGTTCTCTAACTGCTTTCAGCTAATGATGAAATCCCCCAACAACCAAACAAAATCCCTACAAAAACCACTACTTGAAAATTGATCTGATGCTCATTAGCGTCTAGCCCTATTCAGACAGTTAACCTGGAGTTCTAGTGGGAAGCCGTGACCAGTAGGGTACAGCATGTTGAACGTGAGGCAGTAACTTATCAAAGAAGACATTTCGAAGTGATTGCGCTATGTTATGGACTGGCAAAAGTTGGAACTCATGCACTGGCCATTGGATCGGATCCCAGTGGCTTAATGCTTCACGAGCAAGCTCGCCGTATAACCAAAACGTCCTAGGTTCGAATCTTAGTAGTGGGTGCGTAATGCTGAAGAGCCCCAGACTAGGACGAAACAGCTGGCTGTGCAGTACTTCCAGTTGGTTTTCCAATGGTTCTCTAACTGATATCAGCTCATGATGAACTCCTTCAATCAACTAAAATTTAACTCTCAGATGCAAGATGGATAAATGATAAGGTCACAACATTTTCCACTCTCTGATTTAACATTGATTAACTATGAAGTCAGTAGTAGGAAGATGCGTGGTCTGTATGCATATTTAATTCGCCTAAATGACTAACTTTTGAGGGTTTCGGTAGCTTAAGCTAAATTCAAAACCTCTTTCAGCTTTTAAGTACTTGCTAACGTAATATTTTCTGATGCTTTAATCCTTTTATCGTATTTTTCAGTAGGGATTCCACCATCCTTTGATAATATGTCTTTACTTTCTAATCATAATTCTGACACTGATTCAAATTCTGAATGGATTCCTCACTATTTTTCGGAACATGATGGAGATGTGTGGCTGTGACGGATGATACTGGTTCATGAAAGCTATGCAACTAAACTATCCAGCGTAAGAAGCATAACTACATTAAGATTTTCTCGGAATTAACTCGTATCGGCATCCTAACCTTCACTGAGTACAGTAGTATATTTATCTCTGATTGGACACTGGTCAGTAACTAGTGTAATGCGTCTAGTCCCATTTTTGGTGCAGACTGAATTCTATCAGTCAAGTTTGCAATGTGGCCACCATGCCACTAGGTGGTTCGCCATCACGGTTCACTGTGAATTGTTGGTATTAGATGGTTGGCGGTCATCTGCAGCAACCCTTGTTACTGACTAGTGTCCAATTAAAAATATCCAATACATTCAGTCCTAGTGGAGGTCAGTCGCGAGCCAGCCTGAATAGCTCAGCGGTACCGTCTCTGACTGCAGCACTCACTGGGGGCGCGGGTTCAAATCTCAGAAGGAGGGATATAAGTTCCTTCAAGGTACCAACCAGCAAGAAACGTAGGTCAGGTAGGGCTTCCTGTGCCCGACTGCCTCCAACCATCTAATACCGACAATATATTTATGTCATCCGGAGTTGGTTATTCCTAGAATAGGGAAATTTAACAGTTTCCATAAATACAAAGTATCTAGTCGATTAGATTCACCTACCAGCCCGTCGAAACATTTCATCTATAACTTTACATTACCCTGAATATGACTTGTGTCTGCTCGGTACCTCACAATCCACTAAATCAAGCAGAAATGCTTTCAAAAGTATTTTTAGTTGGCAGTGGAATTTCATGAAAAAAAACATCTAGATTTATGGCAATGAATTTCAAAATAAATCAAGTGGGAGGGTAAGATTTTTGTGCATCCGGATGTTTTAGGAAAACTGAACTGAGTTGCACAGTCGTTTTCTTATTTTCGCATGATATCCATTTACTTTTTGGATAATTCGACAGTATATTCCATCGAAAACATCTAGATAACCATTGAAGGCCAATAAACACTGAACAGCTGTTTCAACCTAGTTTGGGACTCTTCGAGGGACATGCTCTTAGGGTCCAATAAGAGATACAGCCCATTACTTTTAAGTTACAAGACAAGCATTCTGAACACTTATTTATTGGGTTGGATTTCAGTAGTCCTAATGAACTGCAGTTTCTGTTAGTTAAATTGCCCGATATAAATCAAATTCGCAATTTACAAGTTAGTTTGCGATTTGTTACATATACGCAGTTCAGGAGGTGAAACTTTCCTTTAGTTTCCTTTGGAAATTGAAATTATTCGGATTACATATTATGTGATCCACTTGACACTATTATATGGCAGTCAAGAAAGCAAGAGTTATTATTATTATTGTTTCCTTTAATTCCTAGAGGAACATAGAGATTCAGCCAAACGTCTCTATTGCGTTCGGTTCTCTGCCAACGTTTTCACCTGGCTCCACGTTTACCCGCATGCTTTCATCTCCTCTTCACATGACCTCCTCCTTCATGTCACCCTTACACTGATGACCAGCTCGCTGCTTCCCTTTCGAGTTCCACTGGAGCTATGGCCTGACGCGCAATGTCACCTAGCGGCCTCCTCAGCGAGTGTCCAATCCATCTCCAGTTCTCCTGCATTTTTGTTGAGCCTCGCCTAGATTACTAGCTCACTTGTTTTCTAGCCGGTCCCAAGCCCGGATAAAGACGGAGGGTTGGGGCGTGGTGCTAGCAACTCCACCCCCAAAACTTAACCAAATTGCTACAGAAACTTCAACGCAAAAATATATTAAAAATTCTAAAAATATAAAATATATGTGTATAAATATCATCGGCTAATTTGTGATTCACCAAGTATTGTGCGTGGGTCTATTTTGTGGTTTCTTTCTCTCTACTCATTTCAATAATTTAGTAGTATAAAGTGTTATGCATAAATTGCCTATTATCTAATTTCGTTTTGGGATTAAAAATTCATATTGAAATCAATCGCAGTATTAGAAACTCAACATATGCAAAAACATTTATTTATTTATTTATTCATTTGTTTATCAACTTTCAGATCTGTTTTCAAGGTGATACCTTGTTTGTTTACACATTTATTTGTTTGTTAGTCTGTCTGTCTGCTTCTTCATTTAGTTTATTTACACTAAAGAAATTGAATGATCAAGGTCAGTTGGCAAATTCAAAAATAAAACAGAACAAAACAAAAACGGACAATAAAGAATGAGAATTCACATAAATTATAATTCAGATCATACTTACTTATGAATAAAGTAAAAAAACAAAACAAAACACAAAACAGAAAAGAGGAATACACAAAATCTGCCCTCTGCGAATGTCTCAGAGGAAACAGAATCATCTCATTATGAAAATTATACATAAATTGTACTCAGCGTGGAATAATATGAAATACCATATTCATGTGAGGCGTGAATGAGTAACCAGATAATCACACACTCAAACACACACACACACCAATTAACGCTCAACAAACACAACTCACATGAATATATAAATCAAGAAATTACACTCACACGCATATGAATTAGGGTGAAACACGTTCTTCTGGATAAAAGGTAAATAAAATAGTCACGCAAAAATTAATAAAAATGCATTTTATTACTATTATTAGTAGTATATTAATAAAAAATAAAATTTTCAGAAGAAACACATATATGTATAGATGTATATACTTTACCAGAAAGTACATAATTCATAAAACAATGAAATAATAATTGTTTTCTTTTATTTTGAAAAAAATAAAAATGAGGAAGAACAAAACTTTAGAGTGTTAAAAACAACAAATAGGAGAAGGAGAAGAAGAAGAAACGAAGCAAAGCTAAAATTAAACAGGTTCAATAGTAGCTGTTGCCTTACTTCTTTTTCGTTTGTTTAAATTAATCAATATTCAAACATTTGTAATGCTTATGTATATGTTTACATACATACATATATATATGCGTGTATCGAACATTGAACAGTGAACGTAAATATGGAGGTAGCGTTAATAAATTAAAACAAGCGCTGTCAAGTTTTAAGGCACCGGGAAATTGAAATACACTGTTTGCATTCAGTTGATTGTTGTAACACGAGGGAATGCTCGTAAAAGTTTTCTTTCTTTTTTTATTTACAAAAAACAACTGACACAAGAATAAATGCTCAAAATAGTAAATGCTTAAATTATTTTTTGGACAAACCACTGAAATGCCAATATGAAATATCATATTATACATATACATATATATATGTATAATATAATCCAAAATAGTGCTCATTTTCACTGATTTGAATAGTAGGATAATCTATTTTTTTGCATGATTAGTTTATTAAAACAAAACTAAGAATATCAGTATCACAACCTTGACAATGAAATAATCAGTTATTCATTGAACCCCTCAAAAAAATCGAATTGAAACTATTCATGATTCTGTGTAACGTGTAGTTCAGCCAATCGAGCTAATGCTATTCGTGTTATAGTTTCATTTGTATCAATCAACTGTTTTGAATCAATATTCGATAGAGTAAGACCAGTAGCTGATCTTCTTCGAGTGAAATTCTGTTTCATTTCAGTATCAGTTGCTTCATCCATAGAAGAAGCTTGTCGCATAGCAAAATTAAACAATCGACTATTTTCGATGGATGCATTATTTGTGGATGTAAATGCATTGAAGTTTTCGCCTAGGGGATTTGCTTTATTTAAAGATTTAAAGAAATTTCGATTGATATTCATTGCAGCAGAAATATTGTCTGATTCTAAAGAAGTATTATCTGTCGTTGATGGTTTAGGTGAATTTTCAAAGACTGTCGGTAACCACCTGCTCGCTGGTAACGATGCATATTCAGTGGTGATTTCTTTAGAGAAACAATTCCAGTAAGAAGAATGTAATTGTGCTACTCTTAGTAAAGTTTGTATCGCTGCAGGATGTGGTACACGATCCATTTCTGTCTGTTTCAATGGAAGTAAATCAGGAACACTGATTGGTACAGAATTTTTTTCATTGATTTCTGCAGCTGACTGTAGCAGGGCTCTAACACAAGCTTCTGTACAATCACAAAGACTATTCAAGTCATACCCACCTTCTAAAGACAAGACGACTTTAGAATTAGCTATTCGATCAACAGATAACAATCGTGTCATCCAACCAAAAGCTGCTGGACTAACAGAATAACCGCCAAGATTAGCTGAATGCCCCGGAGCTGCATCAAATCCAGCTGAGACCAGGACAAGACTTGGTTGAAATTCATAAGCGACAGGTAGGACAATTAAACGAAATGCAGCTAGATATTCAGCATCAGACATCACTATACCTGATGGCCAAGCAATATTGATTGTAAATCCTTCACCAGGACCAGCACCAATTTCTTCAGGTGATCCAGTACCAGGAAAAAATCCGCCTTCATCATGTCTATGCAATGATATATACAAGACAGTTGGATCCGTGTAGAAGACTGTTTGTGTCCCATTTCCATGATGAATATCCCAATCGACAATAAGAATTCTTGGTTTCAATGTTGGTTCTATTGTGTATGGGAGAAAAGCTGACTGATCGAACAATGTATTTGTTAATGAAGATATAACAGAGTTTTGTTCATTACTAAGTGTTGTTGACCCAAGAAATTGAACTCTTTTAGTTGCTATTGCTATTGAATTGAAATAACAAAAACCCATAGCTTGACCAGGTTCTGCATGATGTCCTGGTGGTCGTACCAAAGCGAAACCATTAGGACATTGACCTAACATAACACGACAGGCTAAATCCACGACACATCCTGCGGCTAGTCTAGCTGCATGCGCTGTATGCCCAGCTGTATGCCAAGCAGTATCAGAATCGACACCGACACCACCACAGGCTAATCTACACAGGCGTACAGTAGCTAAAAGTGTTGGATCAATTCGACATCTACTGGCTGGATTACTTCCAAACAGGACTGTGTAAACATCACGATGGACAAGTTGTAATTCAATTAGGGATGCTCGCCTTCCTGGTTGATGATGACATTGAGCAGCTAAACCAGTTTGCTGAAAATAGAAATTAAAAAATTATATAAAGGAACGTTATCAAAAGTAAATTTTAAAATTGGTTTTGTGATTTAAAATTCCTTGGATACGATTTACCTTGATGAAAGTAGTTTTACCACCTAAGTTTTGTGCATAAAATAGTAAAGGATTCTATGATGTTAGATAGTTGGAGGCAATCGGTCACAGGAAGCCCTACCTGACCTAGGTTTCGTGCAAGTTGGCACTCGTCAGCAAGGCGTATCTGCAACCTTGAAGGAGTTCTTTTCCCTTCTGCGATTCAAACACGCGTCACCCAGTGACTACTGCAGTCAGGGACGTTACCACTGAGCTATTCGGGCTGGTTAGTGGTTGACCTCCTGTAGGACTGTAGTGGATACTTTGATTGGACTTTAGAAACTAGTGTGATGTGTCTAGTCCTTGATGTTTGGTGCAGGCTGAATTCTATAAGCCAGGTAGCTCGCCATCACGGTGACTGATAGAATTCAGTCTGCACCAAAGAAAGGACTAGACACACATATCACACTAGTTACAAGTGTCCAATCAAAATAGTGAAGGATTCTGTAGGAATTTTAAGACAACCATGCCTTCCTTTCAATTAAGCTTAAATGAAGGAAGTAATAGTCGATGAGAACTTGATGACTGAGTAATTGTTGTAGTCATTTCTGTCTCAGTATGGAATTTAGCTTCAACTCCAATGTGAAGTCAGTGCTACCTACTATAAGGATCAGGGACTTGGCCGACGCGTCAAGAAGGGCACTTCGAACAAACTACACACTTTCATCAACAGCTGTTTTCGGTCAATACTTCGCTCGAGATCAGATGGCCAGCCAGAAAAGATCAACAATAGTGAGGGATCTCTGTCAATGAGCGAATGAACCCAGCAGAAACCAACTGTGTAACAAATCTATAGGAAGAAATGGAGGTAGGTTGACCATACTGTGAGAAAACCATTAAGAGACATCACACGCCAGGCCACTGCTCAGGTGGAACGGTGAGTTCGTCATCAGTGTGAAGGTGACATGAAGGAGGAGGTGATGTGAAGAGGAGATAAAAGCATGTAGGCAGACGTGGAGCCAGGTGAAAACGTTGTCGGAGAACCGAAGGCAATGGAGACATTTGGCCGAATCTCTATGCTCCTCAATGAATTAAAGGAAACAATCATAATAATGGAATTTAGCGGTATGTGGCTTCAGGAAAATCAAATCATGTGCTGATCAAATTGCAACTATACACATCACCAACAAGCAGAATATAGAATGACAGTTGAATCTCAACCTCAATTTCATTGACTTCGAAAAGTCTTCAACAGACAGCGTTGACCGAGAAGTAATTCGGAAACTACCTCAAAACTATAGCGTGCAGTGCCCAAGTCTTTATCCAACTCATTCGACAGCTGGCTATATGATAATGCCATGTGTCAGGTGATCCACAACGGAAAATTCACCAACACCTTTGAAGTGCAAACAGGAGTAAGACAAGCTGGCTGCCTGCCTATAACTGCCAATGATGTTCCTAATTGTAGTGGACTGAATTATGCGTCAGACTGTGAGTGGAGAATGAGAAGTCAGGGACACGCTGAACTGGTAATAAGGTTCTAGAAGATTCGGAATTCTTGGACGATTTATGTTTAATATCACACAAACTCGAAGACTTGCAGGTGACAACCAACAAAGTGGCTGAAGAAGCAGGCAGACAGATAAGACAGGACTCCAAGTTACTTTAGAGAAAACAGAGGTTTTCGCCTGCAAGCCATCGAGTCTGTGTGAAACTAAACACATGTCATCGGCGAAATCCAAATCATCTAGAGTCTTCTTGTTGGTCATATCTATCCCTATCGTCTCACTCCCCATGCACAGTCTGACGCATAATCCAGTCCACCACAATAACGAATGTCATCGGTGATAATAGGCAGGTAGCCTCATCTTACTTCTGTATTCACCTGAAAGGCGTTGGTGAGTTTTCCGTTACGCATCACCTGACACGTAGCATTGCCATATAGCTAGATGTTGAATGCGGTTGATAAAAACCTTGGCACTGCACGCCATAGTGTTGAAGTAGTTTCCAAATTTCGTCTCCATCATCGCTGTCGAAGGCCTTTTCGAAGTCGATGAAGTTGAGGTGGAGAGAGATTTGACTGCCATTCTATGCTTTGTTCTAAGATGATGATGTGCCTGGTTGGAATTTGATCAGCACCTGAATCCATCTTATTCCATTTAGCGTAGTTCAGCATCAAGTGGATCTTTGAGTCTTTCCAGGATGTCGCGAATTATTATTTTACTCGGCATGGACAAGAGCAGGGGCCCAAGTCTCCCTTCTTTGACAGCTTGACAAGGTAGCCAGCCTTTCTTCCAATTGGTAAGCACCTTTCTTTCCTTTCAAACCTTTTACAATTATAGTATCTGGATCCATTTTCAATGTTTCGGGGAGAGGGGAGAGGGGAGAATTCTATCTGGTCCTGCTATGACATTGTAGTAGTTAAGATTTTTTAATGATGAACAAATAAGCCACTAACTGAACACACAGAGAGAGAGAATGAATTAAATCTAACCAGGTAGGATCAAACTACGGCGTACCCCAAATATTCATCAACCTTATTCAACAGCTGTACAACAACGGCACATGTCAAGTGATCCACAACGGAAAACTCAGCGAAGCGTTTGGAGTAAACACAGGAGTCAGACAAGGGTGCTTATTATCACCAATGTTATCACCAGGGTTATCCTGGACCGACGTGAAGAATCTAGAAGACCTGGATTTTGCGCGTGGATGATTTATGTTTGATGTCACACAAAATCGAAGACTTACAAGCGAAAACCAACAAACTGGTCGAAGAAGCAGCAAAGACAGGACTGCAGGTGAGCATAGACAAGATGGAGGTTATGAAAATAACCAACCAACAACAACAACAACAACAGCAACATCCAGCGCCAATCACCATCAACAGGAGGGATTTGAAAGAGGTTACTTCATTCACTTATCTAGGGAGCATTGTCTCAACTACAGCAGGAACGGACGAGAATGTCAAATCGAGAATCGGGAAGGCGAGAAACACATTCATCAACCTGAAACCAATCCAATCTGGAAATCTTCGTCATTCCTCAACTCAGCATCAACAACAGAATTCCGATTTTCAATACAAACGTCAAGTCAGTCAGTTCTTCTATACGGATGGATCAGAAACTTAGCGGCAGGTCACAAAGAATGAGTATTTCCAACAGCCTGTTTCAGACCTTTATCAACAACTAACTGTCTTCGCTGGCTCTTTACCGAAGATCAGATGGCCAGAAAGAATCACCAACAAGAAACTATGGGAACAAACAAAACAAGAACAAATTGCCCAACAAATATACAGGAGAAAGTGAAGATGGATTGGACACTAGCGCGTCAGGCCCTCGAATGGAACCCGAAATGGAAGCGGCGAGTAGGACGTCAGTGCAAGGGTGACATGGAGGAGATCATGTGAAGAAGAGTTGAAACAGTATGGACTAACATGGATGCAAGTGAAAAGTACAGCAGGAGACAGAAGCAAGTGGAGACGTGTTCCACTAGGAACCCAAGGGAACAATAATAATCATAATATAGGTAGGATCAAGCTTTTAATTTTTCCCTACGTGATTATCGATTTTATTGATTATCATCACATGTGACCGTATTGATAATGTCTGTATTCAATTTTAATTGAGACAAAATACTAGGTAAGCTAAGAAAGGTGTAGTTTTTTATTCAATATAGGAAACCATAATAGAAACCATAGTCCATTTATTATTGTTTATCTTTTGTGTGTGTGCATATATATGTATTGAATGTATTTCAGAGATAAGAGAAACTAGGGTATATAGATAAAATCTTACTCAAAGCAAAATGCTTTCTAATCAATTGATCTATTCACCATTTGTCTATTACTTTTCCCTTTTTTGTTTTTTGTCGTGTGTTCTCTTCCCAAGTGAACTGCAGCATACTAACTTCATACTTGCCCACTTACCTATCCCTTTACTCACCTGACTACCTACCTACCTACTGACTAAATACTCAAGTGAGGCTTTATTATTTGCCTTTGAGTTTTGCTCTACTTCCCTTCACTTTTCTATCCACTCTGAAGATTATTCATTGCATTTATTGATTTTAAAGCAGACGTAGATAATGTGTCATGTGATATTGTCTGAAAATGAGTGAAAATTGCTTTTGTAAAACTAACTAACTAACTACTGATTACAAATCAATGGAAATTAGGAAGAAAGATAAGAATAAAAGTTGTGCACTGTGGTAGAATATAATTCCATCATGTGTAAAAGTCTCACAGTGTTGTTATACAGTAATATTTACTGATGACCACACATCGAGCACAATTTATTACTGGTCATAATCATATCAAGGCACTACTCACACAACTTTCTAACTTCGTTTATATAATTCCATTATTTTCCATCACTTGACTTAGTTGGTAGTAGTATTCTCCAATTTTTCAGTATGCGTGGTGAGTCATTCTTATTGCAAGTGTTGGGTGTAGACTGGAAGAACCAGGAAGGATTCAGTAGTCAATCTCTCTCGCTCTCCACCTACCTAAATTACTTCTTAGAATTTTAACCCTCTCCAACCCAACCTATTGTGTGTGGTTATGTGTTAATGCGTGCAGTGAGATTGCTGAGTGCTTTTTTCTAAATTAATTATCTTCACTGGTGGGATCGACCATTCTTAGCTTGGCTAAATTCTTATGTTCCGACAACCTGATTACCCCCTATGTACTAGTTTGACCTATGTAGCTGACCTCACAGTCATTGCAAGGTATTTTGTAAATTATATTATTTTGTTTTATTGGGTCAGCCGACAGGGTCCTTTAGCCTACAGAGCTTGTCTCAGAGTGAGTTTGTAGGTTTAAATGCCACTCTGATTCCTGCTTTATTGAGAATCCTACGTAGGGTATCAGATGTCCCCTCCTTATATTGTATCATTTATTTTACCATTATTAGTTCCACCATTATTTTTACTTTGTTTTTGGCCTT